GTCAGCGAAAAAATAATTTGGGAGTCCAGGAGGGGGTAAATACGGGTCTACAATAGTGGCTAGCATTAAACCAGATCGTGACTTTAATTTTAAAAGAAAATTTATTCAAACAGAAACCAGATTTTACATATTTAACAGATTTAGTTACCAGATTTAATGAGGTTAATAAGCAGTTGCAAGGTGGCAGCACAAATCTTATTAAAACAAAGACAAACATAAACCTGACAAGATTGATGCCAAATGTTTAAATTTTGTTATTGAAGCACCAGATTCATCATGCCCATTGTAAAATTTGTTTGTTGATAAGTTATTTTATGTATTAATTAAATTTTAAATTAATTAGTATACGTTTCTTAATATTTTAACACTATACTTCACTACAGTTAGAAATATAAATCTTTTAAATTAGCTCTATATCAACTTTCAAAAAATCATTTGAGTTGATAAATTTTTAAAGATTGAATATAAATAAGCAGGGGTCTACCCAAAACCGAAAAACAAGGCAAGGGGTCTATGAGATAAAAAGTTTGGAAACTTCTGGTCTAAAGATAAGGAGTATTTATATTTTGTTAGTATTTGATTAAGAAAATCGCTTACGAATATAAGTAATCTTGATATCTTTATAAAAAAGAAGTGAGCATACATTAAAACTTCTAATACGTCTGAATTTAGTTATACCAATGTTGTCTGCAATCTAAGTCGATCAGAATTGCTTAAAAATTAATTACTAAAATACGTCTAGGTGATATGTGATTTGAAAAAAAATTATATTTGAAAGTTAGCATGTTGTCTAAATTTACATTTTTCTTAAATGCAGATTTTATATAATAAACCTTCGAATAATTATTTATGTTGAAAAGATATTATTTAAAATATTTTATTTTAACATATCAAAAATCCACAGTAGTAAATTTAAACGTAATATAGATTTAGTAGTAAAAAGAAAAGAAAATTTTCATTTATATAATGTAGATTTATCAAAAAAAAAAAAAGAAAGAAAGCTCATTTTTTTGGTTTACTTAAAAATTTAAAAACGTTGTGAATTATGAGTTTGTATTCTCAACACACATTGCAAGTAATAAAATTATGCAATACGTAAAACTTTCGCATAGAATTGATTACTTTAAACATCATATTAAAGATATAGCTTTGTAAAGAGTTAATTTTAATTAACGACTTGACCTAAGATATTTATCATGTTCAAAATATTTTTAAAACATACTTCTAATCGAAAAAACAACGGGGTTTGTGAAAAAAATGTTTTGTTCACACACATTTCAATTTTGAAATTACTTCAATCAATTTATAATACTCATTCTTTAAAGACCTTCAAATACCTGTGTGTGTCAATATACTTAAGTTAAATTTTTTAAGATCTCAAAAGTAAATTTATTTTAACTATCCCTTTTTGAGAAAATTGATATGCTTTTTTAGAAAAAATACATCTTTACAGAAGACACAATTATGAAAACTAAATTCATATTAGAGTTTTACTATTCTAAATTCATATTAGGGTATTTTCTTTTTTTTTTTTATTGAAAACCATTTGAATAAGTGTCCCCTTTTTTAATATATATATATATATTCAGACCTATACTATTTCTATAGTACGATAGTTTTCTAGCAATATTCATCCCTATTTACCTAACCATTTTTCTAATATGGTGGATACTATCGAAGAAAATTGCATTACAGTTCCATTATTTCCTATTTTTTTTTAAATAAAAATATCTAAGTAATATCCAAAAATGATTAATACCCAAATATTTTCAAATTATTGTTTCAAAATGCTTTTAAACATTTTTTTACTAAGTTTCCTATTTGATTCTGATCCAGTAGTGTACACAGACATTCCTCTCTGGTACCCCAGGGGGGGGGGTGGAGAATTATATTCTAAAAAACATGTAGACGAATGCGATGACGGATAATCTCAGATAAAAATTAAAAATCTCTTGGAATATCGGGGGGAGGGAGAGTTTCCAATCCCCCACCATTGTCCACCAACTCCAAGTTTCTAATATAATAAACATATTTTTTAAATTTAAATCTGAATGAGAGTTTTAATGCATAAATTAATAACGCTATATTATTTGGGATTTATCAATATGACACATGACGAAAATGCAGGCCTTGAGGAAAATAAAACACAAAAAACAATTTAATCTCCTACAAATTTATTTCAAGTCGAAATTAAGTTACTTTAATGGCGCCCACACACAACATCCCCATTTCTTTGTAAGGTCTTTCCCAAACTTAGCAATTTTGGAATAATACGAAATGAGTATAAAAAAGAACTTTTTTTTTTATAACGGCCTAATGTATTCTCTGAAAACTTTCGACGTTCCACGAAATTAAACTAAGCCGGCCTAAACAAGAAAGTGAAATATGTGTTCAAGGATTGTAAAGATGATACCCATTGTCGACGTACACTTCACACAAGATAAGATTTCTCGGTAAAGCAGATTAAATTCTACGTTTCCTGAAGCAACCAACCACTTGGAGAAAATCATCCAGTCCCCGCGTCCGCAAGATAATTCCATTTCCTTCGAAAAAAGATTAAATCAATCTGATGTCGATAGTGCCTATTTTTCTCTGGAAATCCCTCTTGCATCCAGGAGATGGTGCCTTGAATCTAAATTATCACACATGTGCTAAAAAAGAATCTCTGATTTTCTACTGGATTGTATAAAAGTCCTCCCACAACATGAATTCATATCGTATATTTGTCCGTGGAAAAAAAGTATCTTGAAAATGTAATTGCACATACAACCTCGACTAACTTATCATTGGGGATATTTATAAGATGCGATAAAAAAAAATTATGTAGATAGTTATGGACTTTTTTTAGGTGACTGGGATTTGTATGCCTATTTTTTTGCATAGAAAGTCACTGACTTCAATTTCCAAGAAGATTATGTTATAAGAATAATGTGTTTTTTAATGGTTTTAAAATATTTTTGTTTGAGAAAAATGTATAATTCTTGCAGAACCACCCTAAGAGAATTTTTTTATGAATGTTACTTTGTTAGAATTTTTGTGTAGTGAGTGCATTATAATTTTATGATTCAACAAACTGCTAGGCTTGATTGCATGAGATATTTCAAAAGGGAAAATTTTCAGAATTTTCAGTAACTCGATGTTTAAGAACATGTATCTTCACTTTCTATCTTGAAGATAGTTGTCTTAGTTATGCCATAATAAATTTTAAAAACTTCATATTTTGAATACATATGTATTTTTTCCCATGCTATTTAAAACAAAAATATCTATATGCATTCTTATTTCTGAAAGCAGATATTCAGAGTTATATATCTTGAATAAATTTATTCTCATTGGGGATCTACTCAAGAACAAAAACTTAGATCTTAAGTCATTTGGGGATCAAATGACATACTTCAAATCGAGCTTAAACTAAATTTATGCAGTCAACATAAATAAAATAAATATTTTCAATGCATTTAAAGCTTTTCAAGATTTTTGTGTTTTTAATAAAAAGTCGAAATTTTTAAGCCCAACGATTAGAAAGTTTTTACCATTTCTTCGAATTAATATTTCCTAAATTTTTTTATCATGTTGACCAGAGGTTCCCAAACTTTCAATCTCATAGACCCCTTGCCATGTTCTTTGTTTTGGGGTAGACCCCCGCTTACCTAATAGTGATTTTTTTCAAATTTATCAACTTAAATGTCTTTCTGACTGCAGGTATAGAGGTACTTACTTTAAAAGAATTAAATTTCTAACCGCATTGAGAAGTATAGTAATTAAAACTCAAGAAACATATTAATTAAATTACAATTTAATTATAATACACAAAATGACTGATCAACAAACAAATGTTTATTATGGAAGGAATGAATCTAGTGCTTCAATAACTAATTTTCAACATTTGGAAACAAATTTATCAGGTTTAACCCTAAATCTCTTCGGTTAGTAGGGGTCCTGTCTTTTTTTTTTAATTTTATTTTAAAGCAATCCCGCGCTGAAACTCCTTTTCACTAGGAAAAGCAATAAAATACTCCATAATTCGGGACAATACATAATTCGAGATACATAACAGGTATGTATTTTTAAAGCAAATACTGCTGACATCTTTTTCCAAACTTTACTTTAACATCTCCGTTACTATCTATTCCGATTAGTTCCTCTTGCAGTATGACATTTTTTATCAATGTGACCATAGGAATTCATTATCTACAGTAGTAATTACCATAGTCAAAGCATTCTCAAACCTAGTTTCATAATATGAATAAAGGGCATTTAAATGTTAAACGTAGGTTAAAATGCCCTTTTCCTGTCAAATTGTCTGAGGCCAATTGAAAAAATGGAAAAATTCACGACGTCCAATATTAGGTTTAATTTTGGCAAGAAACGCTGAAATGATGGTCTTTCTTTTAATAAAATTTCAGCTGTCACCTTAAGATTGCAAATTAAACTCATTAAATTTTGTAAATAAATCTGGTAAATAAATAAAATCTGGTATCCATTTAAATAAATTTTTTTTAAATTAAAGTCACTATCTGGTTTAAGGAGACCCACTATTATAGACCCCATTAACACCTCAGGGACCCACCATGTTGAAGGTCATTCGGTTCTAAATCAGTTATGCACTGCTTTTTTTAGTGGCCTTAGATAAACTCACTTATCTTTTCAGATAAAATCACCAATAACACCAATGCCTTTTATATGTGTCAGATAACACTATATTACAACTTTATTACAATTAATTATTTAATACTTGGACTACTCTACTTTTCAATTTCTGCTATTAGTTCACACACTCCCTATATATATATCTTGTTCAAATTTTCAATCATTAATAAAATACTTTTTATTCATCCACTCACGTTCAAATACATTTTTTAAACTTGCAGTGGATAGCACTTGATGTGAATACAGTTTTTCAAATATTCACGCATTAATTATGTTTAATTAATGAATAAATAGTAAAAAATAAAAAAAATAGTCCAACACCCTATATAAAAAGGAAAATCGTTCGTTGTGTCCCTGTAGCGCAATGGATAGTGCATTGGACTTCTAATCCAAAGGTCGTAAGTTCGAATCCCACCTGGGATGGCCTAATTTCTGAGAATGTGATTTCTTTTTACTCTACTATTTTACTGAAGTAATTAAATTTAATTAATGAATAAATTGTAACAAACAAAAATAATAGTCCAATACCATATATAGAAAGGGGGAAATGGAAAATTGCAAGGAAAATATTTCTCTCTATTTTGCCACTTAACAGAGTGATTCTGTCATATGTATATCCATATAACCATATATCCATCCATATAACAACCAAGTATATCCATATACCCCACCATATAACACTAACAATTAAAAAACTCTTAGCATTGTACGGTGAATGATCTATGAGCATTAAAAAACGAAAATCTTATCTATTAAACCTTTTAATTTGCATTGCAAATTCTATTATGACTCATAATAAAACTATATTCAATACTTAATATTTCATCGTAAACAATGTGTCATATTAAGCACTTAGAGATAGAGAAAAAGGAACGATTCACAGATCAGATATCTAAACAAAAATTGATTCCGATTGTATCGGAAATATATAAATCCGATTTAATCCTACTAAACTTGAAAAGAATAAATCCGACTCAATTGAATTTGCTTCTTTATGATTTACTTCTAAGAAATAATCGGAATAAATATTCGGAAATCGGTCATTATTTTGATATTCGCATCGATATTCAAAACATTGTATTGATGATCAAGAAAGAATGTATACTTTCTTACAGCTTTAGGTCTTAATATCAGATGAAAAAACTATTCATGAGTAATATTTAAAGCCTAACAAATGTGCTCAACATCAGATTTGATTTGCATTTTAGATGCTTTTTTTATGAATAGATATATCTTTACTTACAATTTGATATAAAGTAAATTTGTGTTGCTATTTCCCCCCCCCCCCCCGAAAATAAATTTTAAATTAACGTTTTAATATAGCTATAAGAAGACTTGGGGATTGGTTTCGTAATTCTGTGAAGAGGACGATATTTACCGTATATAAAATCCCGCAATAACACGCGCCTATACTTTCAAACTGTAATTTTTAATTTATAGGTATATTCGCCGTATAACACGCACCTTTTTCATGAAGAAACCTAAAATGTACGTGCGCAATGCTGTTATGTTTTGAAGTCATTTTTTCGAGGTACCATTCCAAGCATTAGAAAAAAATAGTATACTTCTAGTAGTTTCTTCTACCCTTTAAGTTCATTAGGAATGTCATTTCTTTTAAATAAACAGTAATTCGATACATGTAGAAATCTAATTTTTTCCTATACTCATCTTTTCTTGTATTTTTAAACCTCTCATCTTTATACCCGGCGTATAACGCGCACCCGTAAATTTCGATCTTATTTTTTGTGTTTAAAGTGCGCGTTATACGCCGGATTTTACGTTAAATATATATTCATTCTTCTAACTTCCACACACCACCATGGAAAGATTTGATTTTAATTTACGTCATACTCTGAAGCACCACGAAGGCTATTTGCAACGGACCTAGTAATTTTGAACCATGGTCATGTAACGAGGACGACACCTGAGTTGGCACCCCACTTTTCATACTCCACGTCCTTGTAAGGACATTTACTCCATGTTCTCCTTGTCCTCAACAAATTTAATGCGAATAAGCTCCTCTACACGGTGAGTCTTCAGTGACATTAGGACTCAAACCAACGGCTTGACAGAAACAAGCTAACCACGAATTCACAGCTAAGTCCCCTAGAATACTGCGACGTGGAATTTAAAGGTGTGAGTTACCGACACCATTATCGTCTTCATCAGTACATCCTAGTTCAAAATTCGGCTCGGTGGCATACAAATAGCGTGCCCGCCTCGTAAGCGCAAGGTTACGGGTTCAATTCCGGCTGGAGTCAATAGATTTTCTGGATACGAAAATCGTAGACACGCAATCAACATATGTTAAATATAATAACATAATGTCATATGATTATGTGACATATAAAAGATCCCTTGAGTATCAATTTGGCTCTGGTTCTCTCGGCAAACTCAAATCCCGGAAATATTTATCATCCGACGAGAGCTAGAATTGAATAAATTCAAGCGTCAAAAATTTGGTAGGGGGAAAATGGTTCTCACGCTTGGGAACTTGTCACGCATGCAAAGGCTTATCTGCCAAAATACAGGCCATTTGAAAAGAAAAAAGAATAGTTCAAAACTCCGAAAAGTGTTGCCTGAACTAACTTTAAAATAGTTAATTCAAATTACAAATCAGAAATCGCAAATACACCACACGAGTACATCATTTTTAATAATACCTTTTCTAAGAACATTCTTTTTTTTTACCGATCGTATGTTAGAAATCTTATCTTTCAAGCAGCAATGTAAAAGGAGTATACTCATAGTAAACTTGATTTTCTAATGTTTCTTGTGATAATGCATCAGGAAATAAAATTTTATTTTTTCCTCAGACTCAATTTGTATTAATTATACATATGCGGTTTCATTTTTATGATTATATATCAAGTCAAACAAACAAATTATTTGTAACTATATTTTGGAAATTTCCTACCAATGTATTGAAGAAAACCTGCAATACACGATATGGATTCAATTTTCTCACGAATATTTCAAACTCTATATTCAACAAGCATGTAATTTTCTCCATTCAGAGAGAATTCCAAAACAAAAGCAAACCAAACCAATCGAATTATCCTTCCCATATTATCTATTTTTTCCCGTCGATAGTTGCTACATTGCTGTGTTTTTTTTTATTTAATTACTAATTTCTAGGCAAAACGTCTCTCATATTCATATATTTTCTTTTGATGGCACTTGATTAGCCATTATGAATGTGGATGTGTAATTTTCTTAAGCATTTTAGAAGCTTAAAATAAAACCTATGCCCCAAATATCAAAAAATATTTTAAGGTATCCGACTACGTTCGGAACCGTGATTTTGCAAAAGCGTATAAATGGATAATATTTATGATATTTAGTGTCACTTAGATTAGAAAATGTATATAAAATTGTTTTAAGAATAGTATTACAATAAAAAATAATTTAAGTACAATATTTTTACAAAAAAATGAACATAGAATGACCCATTTTCAAAATATTCTCCTTTTGTGAAAAATGCTTCAATTATAATAATATTTTGTCTGTACATAGCTCAGATCTCTGCACAGAGGCTTAACTAGAATTTTTGAAATATATAACAGAAGTGGGTTTATCCACATTTTATGACAACAGAGGGGATCAATTTTAAGAAAAAAACGCCGATAATTATTTCAATGGGTGGTAACTCCGAAAGTAATGAGAATTTTTTAAAAATCCTAGTTCAGACTCTCTGGAGAAGTTTTTACTTTATATAAGCGCGAAATATTATTGTTTTAGAAGCATTTTTTATAAAAGGAGAATATTTTGAAAAAAGGTTATTCTAAGTTAATTTTTTGCCAAAATAATGTATTTAAATAATTTTTTTTTGTCAAAATGTCCTTAAAACAATTTTATATATGTATTCTAATCTAAGTGACACTAAATATATGAAAATTATCCATTTATGCGCTTTTTTAAAATCACGGTTCCGAACGTAGTCGGATACCTTAATCTACCAATTTCTATGTTACTTTACTGGTCAAAAAAAGAATTTTTTAAAAAAAATAACAAAAGATTGGACTAAGATATTTTTAGAAATACTGTGACGTACTGTGTGTACTGAAATAATTATTTTATACAAACTATACATGCTCCTTTTTTTCTACCTCCTCGTGTGACGGCTCTATCTCCGATCTTCTCACTAACAAATCCTTTTGGGAAATCTTTGATAATTAAAAACTATTTTATTAGAACGCACCCTCCGAAGAAGAGAACGTGAACACATGTAAATTAAGTCTACTATATAAAGTCTTGGCTTTCAAGTTTGAAAGAGAGGTAGGATAGGCTACCAGCGGAACAGTGATTCATCAAATTTACAGCGTAATACAGATATTTAGTATTTGATAATTATAATAATTAAGGTGACGATTTGTCACTGGAGTTTGAATATAGATTAGATAGCTAGGAGGGCAGTGTTCTAGAATTGAAGTAAGTGTTACTGGTAATTAGTCTTCTCTTATTTCGCATACCTCGTTAATTGTCTTCATATTGGTGGGCGCATCTGTTAGTTTTGATTGATTGGAACTTAAGGTATCCGACTACGTTCGGAACCGTGATTTTGCAAAAGAGTATAAATGGGTAATATTTATGATACTTAGTGTCACTTCGATTAGAAAATGTATATAAAATTGTTTTAAGAATAGTATTACAATAAAAAATTATTTAAGTACAATATTTTGACAAAAAATGAACATAGAATGACCCATTTTAAAAATAGTCTCCTTTTGGGAAAAATGCTTCCATTATAATAATATTTTGCCTCTATATAGCTCAGACCTCTGTACAGAGGCTCAACTAGAATTTTTGAAATATATAACTTAGAAGTGGGTTTATCCATGTTTTACGACAACACAGGGGAGAAATTTTAAGAAAAAAACGCCGATAATTATTTCAAATGGTTGTAACTCTGAAAATAATGTGAATTTTTCAAAACTCATAGTTGAGCCTCTGTACAGAGGTCTGAGCTATATACAGACAAAATATTATTACACAATAGAAGCATTTTTCACAAAAGGAGACTATTTTTAAAATGGGTGTTCATTTTTTGTCAAAATATTGTACTTAAATAATTTTTATTGTAATACTATTCTTAAAATAATTTTATACATGTATTCTTATCTAAGTGACATTAAATATTCTGAAAATTATCCATTTATGCGCTTTTTTAAAATCACGTTTCGAACGTAGTCGGATACCTTCAGTTGTTGCTTGTGTTGCAAATTAACTAAGGGATTTTAAACACATGCCTAGTCTTCCTTCCCTTTCTCTGACATCTCTAAGCACAGAGGAGAGATCCTTACACACGTGAAAAATGGACAGAAAATTCAATACTACAAATTAGACGATTACGATACATCGTAAAAAATCGTGGTCTTATATTTTAAGGTCAGACAAGGAACATTCCTTGAACTATTGGGAGA